TGCTAAAATAAATAACTTTTTCCTTCAACGAAATTGCGTCCGATAAATAATTTTTGTGTTTATTTGTTGACTTCAACCTGCTCTATTGCCAAAACTATTTATCAAACGCAATTTTGCTAAAGGAAAAAGTTATTTTTTGTGCTAAAACAATCTTTTTTCTATAGTAAAACTACATTCGATAAATAATTTTTACGTTTATTTGTACAACTTAAACCTGCTCTCCTGCAAAAATTATTTGTCAGACGCAATTTTGCAAAAGGAATAAGTTGTTTCTTTTAGCATAAAGTATCACGTTTTGTACTTCGCGCAAATTTTGAAACACCCCCATTTCAAATTAAAAAATAAGAGTTATTTAGTATTTATTATTTAAAATAACTTCTTCTGACTTATTTATTATTTAATATTTTAGTAAAGTTTGCGATACACGATACTTGTTTTCCTACTGGATTGCTTATAGCTGGATTAGAATCTTGCCATCGCATTAGCTGTGATACTAACATTGACAGCATCGCAATTAATACGATGGCAAGATTCTAATCCAGCAGGAAAATAAACATCGGGTGCCGCAGATGACTTCAGTTTTCGAAATCTATTTTATATTTTTTATTTTAAGTCGCGTCAGTTTTTTACTGAACCTTGATTATCATCTATATGTATAGTCATTACTATATATATCGACGCACGTTTTATCACGATGTCATCCGATCTGTTTTGACAAAAGTACATTTCTGCACTGAGAGAAAAATTGTTGCTATTTATAACTATGTATATAATTATGTTGCTATACTCACTTGTAAAAAAAGTGGTATATTGAAACTAAGAAAAATTTACCAAACTTCAAATGACATAACTTGGTAAATAATGTAGAAAAATAAATAATGTATAAAAACGTGAATAAAATTAAAAATGCAAAATAAAATTCTAAGTATTCACTTTAAGAATATTTGAATAACAATTATGCTTGGACATTCTTTTCAAAATGGTGGATGACAAAATGAAAAGGTGCAGAATTGATGATTGAAAGTTGAGCTTGCGGCGATGTAAATCAGATATCGCAGCATAGTAAAGTATAGAATTTTATCCTTGAAATGCTTTTTTAACAAACTTGATATGATTATAAGGGCTTTTACAGATGAGCAATTTTGCAGCGCCACAATCGAAACGCTGATCCGTTCATACGCTATATTCATACAGTTATATTCTGTAGCACAGAAAAGTGAACATATTCATGACACTTTTCTCCGTAGTTTCGTATGAACGGGTTAGCGTTTTCGATGTGGCGCTACAAAGTCGCTCGTCTGTAGGAGCCCTTATAATCGTATCAAGCACCCTTAGATGTAATGGGAAAAACGCCACGAACTTTTTCCCACACCTAATATTATCTTTAATATCGTATACACGCTCATACATTGACCACTTGTAATTTGGCATTTTATTAATACATATATTGAACTTGTTATATTGCAAATTTTATTGAGAAATATTGAGGAAATGCGCGTAAAACGTAATTGTACGTGTAATAAATGCGGTAAATAGTGTACACGATTCAGTCATTTTGATTATTCTAAAACAAAAAAATCCAAACAGTTTTATAAATTATAATGTACTTCCTATTGTCTAGCTTTTTTCCAATTTTTTTTTTTAATTGACGGAAATAAACATGCTTGAACTTTTGACACATTTTTGGATATTATAAATGTTATTGTATTTTGGAAATTAAAAATGTTATCAACAAAGTCATCGATCAGATGATAGGAAGTACGTTATAATTTATGAAATTACTTGAATTTTTTGTTTCAGAATAATCAAAATCGTATATACATACGTGTTTACTCGTGCACGCACAATCACATTTTACGTAAATTGTATTTCCTCGCAAGATCAATATTTCTCAATAAAATTTACAACAAGTTTAATATATATATTAAAGGCCCATAAAGTATCAAATTACAAATGGATCGTATTTATACTTTTCCCGCAATCCACGCTCAAAAAAATCTTCATTTTTCAGGCTAGTTAAAGTTAGAGTCCTTCTAAAAAAACAGAGTCTGACCTCATGTTTTCGATTAGCTCATATTAGTTTGCCCTCACTATGGCACAGTACGAATCACACAAGGAAATAGCGCACTTATTGAAATATTATAGGCTGTTTTCCAGCTAGGACAGAAACACTACACTGTGTTCCACTATATAAGTACTTCTTGGAATGCAGTTTAGTTTCATAGTGTAACACCAGAATGCATTGCATCTTCCATTCTATTCTTATAATTATATTTAGCATATCAATAATAGATTTATAATTTTTATTTAGAGAGATTTTTATTAAATTATAATTTTTTCAAAATTGATAATTTTTGAAGGTTTTATTACAAAATAAAGACGACCAAATAACTTTTTGAAAAGTTGGTAACATTGACATACTTTACACGCTCGTACTTAGCTTTTTATTGTGTTTTATTGTGTTTATATTATCGAGCAGTGTAACACTGTGTTATAGTTGAAAGACTTTGTGTAAAACACAGTGTTACACTGTATTATCTGTGTATGTGTTGGAAAATATCCATAGGCATGAAATAATGCAAAACATTTTTTATTGATATATTTCATATTATAATCAGAGGAATATTATAATTATAAAGAAATAATATAATTATAAAGAAATATAATACAATCTGTTTAATAAAAATATAAAATTTCAAATGAAAACATATATTTCAAATAAAATATAAATTTAAAACGGTAACATTATTTGATGGAGTGCATCGCCAGTTTTATTGCTGTATGTTTTTTTAAATATTTGCGTTCACAAGAAATATGCATTCTAAACTTACTGGAAACTTGAAACGTTTCTATATTTTTAATAAATTAGCAATTTTTAATTCTAGAACAACTTACATCTTGCATTTATTCATAAAAAAGTGTATAAAATTACATTGAGAAAGGCGCCGATGAGAGAATAATAAAAACGAAATCAAAATAAAAAAGCCCGGCAGACTTAACAAAAATTGGATGACGCAACATCCAAGCTTAAACAAGATAAACACGTCCGTTCCGATTCATGCTCATGGAATTAACTTTTAAATACAAAAGTGTAAAGTGTAAGAACACTGAGAACATATCTTCCCACCACTTTTATCTGACATTTTGAGGGTATGGCCAGACTCTATTTTTCTAGGGACTCTAGTCAAAGTGTACTCCTCACTTAAAACCTTACACGTGGAATTATTTTTTGTCAAAAAAAAATGAATTGAATAAAAAATGATCGGGCTCAAAGATTGATCTGATCGATTTGGCATGGAATGCTTCTTACGCAGATGTGTGTGTGTGTGTGTGTGTGTGTGTGTGTGTGTGTGCGCGCGCGCGCGCGCGCGCGCGTGTATATTATATTAATCAATAAATAAAATTAAATAAATTAAAATTAGTTCATAATATAATATAATTATAATTATATAATTAATATAATTAGTTCATAATATAATTATCTATTATATTATCTATTAGATATGGGAAAAAGTTCGTGGCGTTTTTCCCGTTAGATGCATTAAAAAAAACGCTAAAACGAACTTTTTCCCACACCTAATATTAAATAGCGAACCTGGTTAATTATTAGTGGATTATAAAAAATGCATTTTTTTAAACTCGGAAAAACCCAGTTAAAACCCTAAAAAATCCAATAAAACCCAATAATGAGTTTTTTTAAAAACCCCTATATATTTACTGATGACATATTTACTGACGATATCAATTATGTCAAAAGAAGAAAATGGCACTATCATTGAATAGATACCTAATATTAATGTACACGTACAAAGTTCACTTTATACGTTCTATAAAGTTCTATATATTTGACAAAATAGAAATCTATTTATAATTTTGATTGTCGTGTAACATAGAAAACATTTGAAGAAGTAAAATGCACATGTAAAAAATATAGTGTATTAGGACATTAGGATACACATTTATATTTAGGATATGTGATACAGAAAATAATATGTAAAATTTAGTTCTTGAATTTAGTCGCGAATTATAGATCGTCTAAAGTGGACTTAACACTTTTGTGCTATTTGTTTATTTTTAAATGTTATATCTAAAATTCGCGCTTGCCTTGACTCTTGCATATGGCGAATTTAGGCAAATTACTAAACTAGTTATCTCTTGATTTAACTTTTTTCTTAGATTATTACTCTTTGGGAGGCAATCGGAACTCTTATTATTATTTTTACAAATTTTTGGAAAAGTGGAATTAAGTTTAAAGGTGTTAGTTAGTTGGACAACCGCGGTATTTTTCAATCGTTTATTTGTATTTTTATAGAATCTATTCGCGCCTTGGGAAATGTTTCCGAAAGAATTTTTGCGTTGCGTTCCGCGAGCGATTCACGCAGGGATATAATATCGTATATTTTACATAAAAGGCGGGGAGGAAAAATGTGACGGCGACAACGTAAACCGTTGAGAGGGAGAGAGCGGATGTAATTCGAAGCATACATGCGGCGGCAAGAAGAGTGGAATGTTCAGAATCTTAAACGTTTAATAGGACATAATCGGTTAATAGATCTCGCGCATTCAGTCAAAGTCTGTCGTCACAACCTCATGCAATGAATGACGCGAGTCGTTCCTTATGTTCCGGATATTTTTATCATTTCTATTTGCTCTATTCTATTTTCTTTCTTTTAAAAAATTCTATTTTCTTTTGAATTTTCTCTCTCTCTTTTTCGTTGTGGTTCGAAATGCTGCATCGAGGGAATCTGTAGATATTCAAATATTCTGTACAAACACACTTACTTGTAGATGTATAATACTTGTCTTTACATCTCTAATTTTTTATATCATTCTCATATTTTCGATAAAAAAGAAAAGAGAAAGAAAAACGACGTTTATATAAAATTATTTTTCTCTTTTAAAAACGAGCTTTAGCCCCAATCCCTGAAATATTGTAAACGTGTAATCGTCTGTATTTCTTAAGAAGAAAGATCTATTCTCAAACGATGTTTGATATGCAGAGTGGAATGATAAATGGTCGCCACCAGCAGCATGGTATATGAGGAGATAGTCGATATACGGGGCAGCTGACCCCAGCCACCGCGCACGCTTTTCACGCGCGAGATGCCCCACAATTTAAACTCAGCTTCCGCCAACTTCGTCAACACGGGACCGAATCATCAAGTCTATCCACAGCAGCCGTACCATCGAGAGAATGCAGATGGAGTCCAGCCCGAGGTAATGTAAAATTGATCATACTGATATGTCTATCCTGCGTCAAATCATCAAACATCTTGGATGTAGCGATGTAATCCAAGTAACACACTTTTCGTTTTATCAGTCTGTTTCATCGAGTTATAATTCTTTCATTTTGAAGAAATTTAAAAACGTCTTTATTTTTGAAAAATATTTCATTGCTTAATTGCTTTAAAGAGCGATTCGCACTGAGAGAAAGGATTTTGTTAACTTAACAAGCCACCAGTTTTTACCACTTTTAACCGGTGATCAGTAAATATGTGACAACAAATTTTGTTGCTGTAATTGCTGCTAGTCTGCTATACCAACCAATTATTAACAACAGAAGCAAACCATTTAGAATCTATCTTTTGGATAGACTTTAGGCTCGTTTGCATAAAATTCGTAAATAATCGTGGAATCTGAAGTCGTAGAAAACCCACCAAGCACAGTCTAATATAGGGAGAATACTTGACTGGAATTGATCAATTCCTTACGATTTGAGACTTTGCGTCTATAACTTTTATATATATATATATGAGCCTTTTATTTGCCAGCGATACTATTGATTATTTATTACATTAACGAATTAATTTGTAATAACAAATAGATTGTTTTTTTTTAACAAATATCACATTTGCTTTCCCTTGATTTGTTCCTATAACAAAATCATTTCTCTCAGTGCATTATTAGGCCAACAAAAAATATTCTTTATTCTAAGCGTGGTCTACAATAAATTGCGCGCGCGCGCATACACTATCGTCCAGTCGCAACAGCCAACCAAAAGCGTCAATATTAATTAGCGATGCTTCTAAATCTTATCGTCATAAAAAATGAAATACGAATAAAATTCAAATAAGATAGAAGTTAAAATATTAATTAATAAAATTTATAAAATGAAAATTATTATGAATCTATGAAAATTATTATGAATCTATGAAAAACTGTACGATGATCGTTCTTTAGAAAGAACCGGTGGAATTCGACACGTCGCATTTGCGAGGCGCTCCAGCGGAGGTCGAAGCGTTGGTACACAACATCAAGGAGGTCGCCCAGCAATTTCTCTATCATTGGCGAACGTTCCCTGTCGTTCTGCCCCCGTCATTATCTTCATGCACAGAAGGCGAGGATACGTTGGCACGAAAGAAATACCATCTAAGGGATCTCTTCGTGGCGCCCAGCTTTGATGAGCTGGACGCCGTTGCCGTGGACAGCAAGGGTGAGCCTAGAAGACTGACCAACAAACAACTGGAGAGCATCAGAGAGCGAGGGTAGGTGTTCCTTATGTGGACGTAGTGGGTATGTCAATTTCTTTTTTACTCATTTGACGTGATTTTAGCTAGTTATTATATGTAGCAGCAGTAGTTAGGCAGTAGAAAAAAGAAAAAAATAGAGAAGAGAGATTAATATAAATAGCCGTAATGAATGAATATACATATACCCGCGTTGAATCTGTCGAAATCTAGAAAGCGATGATACCGCGATAAAGACGTGAATCTTGGAAGCGTATTCATGTCCAGCTTACGTTTTCGATTTAGACGCGCGGAATCTCTCTACGAAGAATAAATAAAGGCGATCCTTCGCCTCAAGTGCGTGTGTGTGTCTGATATATTCTAACGATTTCTGTAAAGCTTGCACAAGGATAAATATGGAAAGCCGAAGAAGCTGAATGCCACTCAGTTGGAGAGCATTCGAAGATGCGGGTACGTGTGATACACTTAAGCGACAGTGTTTAAAAAAATAAAAACAATGTGTTAAACGTTTATGCAATTAGGTCGATTAGGTAAATTTGTACAACAACCTCGGGATTGACTAACCCGGCTAACTTCCCTCGCGCGGGAACGATGTCACGTTCACAGCATGATCTTTCATTTGCACTGTCATTAACTCATTTAATTTAAACGCCCGATGAATCATTTGCGGAGCGTTAACGAGATAAATGCATATTATCATATAACTCTTTTGCGCCACTGGAATTGGAGATTGATATAACATCTTTTCACAACGTGTGTATTCATTGTCGCATGCACTTAATTTGTACAAACTGTATATTCCCAACTGTTGTTTATCCTTAGTTTTTTTTTTAAGTTTGGCTTGTACATAAAAACACTGTAAAGAAAAAAAAACCGTGAGCTTTAGCGACTATAGGATTAGTCGAAGTGTAATTCAGCACGGACTAGCAGCAATGCTATCGAAATAAGTATTCCCCGTGAAATAGAATACAAGTAGACATTTTACCCGTCACTGTATAAAACGTTTTATAATGGAAAGGGAGAACGGTACCTGTATTTGTTACATTCTTATCATTTTGAACTGTTTTTCTTTAAGACATGGTGCTTTGTATGATTGTGGCCGTCGCAAAATCACGCGAGAGAAATTTTATCGCGCGGCTGACCGATGATTCTTCTTACAGAGAGTTCGAAGTAGACTCGATCAACTTCGCCGGGCAGACTCATCGATGGCGATTGAGCGGTCTTCTACAACGCGGCCGAGACAGACGGCGGGATGCGTTACTCACAGATCTCGCCCTGGCGACTAGGTTTCTCGTTGTAACGGCAAAGGCTAGATTAATTTCCCATTGCTTCAGTGTCTCACAATCTCTTAAAGCCTTGTTAACGGGGCTGTTACGACTTCTCGGTGAGCAGTTTGTGCCCTTCGCGCGCTTAAATGTGACATCTAAGCCGTACATCTGCATTATCAACACTGCATAAATCTATATATGCTCTATATACATATACATTTATATGCATCTTACAGACATTATAATCGGTGTACCGTCGCTCCAGGCACACAATCTAGATGCTAAAATTAGAGAGGAACGCTGCCGATATCTGGTGGCGGAATTAGTCTGTAAGGTAAGATTATTATTTTCATTAATACTTGGTAGAAATACGATCTTTGTTTTGTAAACCTAAATGATCGTCGTTTTTACTTCGATATATACATCGCCGCTGTAGCCAGAATATGAGGATTCTTTGGAACTCCTTTGTGGATTTATACGGAAGCAACTTCGTCGGGCGACAACGGAGAAATTCGAAGTCGAAAGAGAATCGTCCCAGCTGTTGCCCGTTTCAGTTCCTTTTGTATTTGGAACACCTGGTGGGGCCGCGGTTGATCTCAGGCTGTTTAGCAGAGACATAATCAGAAAAGCTTTACCGACGCTCGTTGCGATTCTGGAGAGAGAGACAAGAGGCTGGTTCCTTCACTTCAGAGAAAGACTGATATCGGAATTGAGAGCACAAAAGAAATCGGACGATGAAATAGAACGAGTAAATACTTTTTAATTAAAAAATTGACTACTATACTTAAAAT